AGGGAACGAGATGCTGCATCTCGGGGCCATACTTCCGGCATCTCTGCCAGCGCTTGCTTCACTCCTAGAAGCTGACGCCGGTTTCACCATACATGCCTTTAAGCTTCCTGGTCGTTACGTCTCGCCCATCCATTGCACTGATTACACACGTGATTCAGAGCCGGTCATGCTGAAGGGCGTTCCCAAAGCGTTCTCTGACGCAGCGTCTCGTTCCCTCGAGGAACCATGGTTACATGCGTAACCTGAGACGATTTCCGGCGACACGAGCGACAGCGACTGTTGGAGACCGGATGGGACGTGCAAAGTTCAGAATCCTTCAAATTTATGCAAATTAAGAGCGACTTTTGGGAGCGACAGCCAATAGAAAAGAAGACGGTACAGCTCACGTGATCGCTCTCCTCTCAGCAGTAGATAAACATATGCAATGGAAGAAAGTAGGCTCTGTTTCTCATTAATGTTTGCTTGTATGTACGGATTTAATTTAGATTTAGATTATATTTAGTCTTTTGCCTCCAAAATGTTTGTACTTAGTGTCAAGAAACCTGATTCACTGTCAAGGCAACCAGTATTGAGAACGCCGACTAGCAACCTCATCGCCAGCCCCTGGCGACATGCAGCGACAAAAGTCGCTTCTAGTGTGAATGCAGCTTTAGACTTTATTAAATAAAAATAAAATCTTTCAGAAAATACTGTATTTTGTTGTGTAATTCTGTTCCATGTCGATACCCTGAGGGAACTGCAAATCCAACACAATCTTCCCCTTTGAGGAACAGATCGCTTCATGATTTTATTGGACAACACATTCACGACCAGTTCCCTTTCAGTCGGTCACTCTCGACGTCACGTCGGATGACCGACGAATTGGGATCTCGCTTAGAGAGACCAATCTACTTCGGGTGTAAACTAAACGAGCCAATGCACATTGGCATGCGATTATTGCATCCAGCTGCCGCTGATCACAGCGTGAGTATAAGTAGGCAGCAGATGCAGCGCATATTCAGCTTTTCGCTTCAGAGCCGAGCGATCACATCGTTCTGCTCCTGACTACTCTACTGAGAGAAGAAGACTGAACGAGTTCAGCGCGCTCTTGGAGAGCTCTTCGTGTTGGCGGTACGGCGCTTCAGCGGTGGTGGTTTCCCGTGT